AACACAAAAGAATATAATATTTTTATTTTTCAATTAATTAATTTTTTCATGATTAATCATTCACTCTTAATATTCATAAAACAGCTTACTTAATTTAGTATACTCATTAGAATCATTTTGCACTAGTTCAATCATCTCTTTGGTACATGTATAATTTGGTTGAATATCTACAAATATCAAAAGAAATTAATCATTATTATTTTCAAAAAAATCCTATACTAATGTCTAAAATTAAAATTATATTAATTTAACACTAAAAAAAATACTAAAAATATTTCACTCAAAAAGAGACAAAAAAATTACTAAAATGTCGTAGAGATTTATTCGGAAACAATATAATAGTATTTTAGTTTTAATATAATTATAATTTTAAATAATATAAGCCACAACTGATCAATTTTATTACATTTATACAAATACACTTTTTCTGGATATTCTTAATATCTAATTTCTTATTCAGATAGCTTAATTTATCAAAAAATAATTATAGAGTAATAGAATCAACCAGTTATAACCAAAAATAAATAATTAGTACAATACTTCTTAAAGCAATATATACTAGTGAAATATAAAATATTTACAAAGTTTTAAAGAAACTTAAAATGAATTGTGCAAATTTATAACTATAATTCGAATTGTAATACCCTTATAACACTTAAATTCAAATTTTTTGCTGGCAAATCAAATTAATTCGATAAATAATGACTTGGTTTTTTTTTTCAAAAATCTTAACTTAAAAATAAATTTAAAAAAAATTCAATGAAAAAAATATACTCAATAATTGGAAAATAAGTCAATCGCAAAATTAATATAATTTCTTTATTTAGTTAAAAACGATTAATTTTTTTAAAATATTGATCATACCAGAATTTAATTGTATGGGTACAACAATCTTTTGGGTCGACGATTCGTATTTAAATCCAAGGTCAATAAATTTGTCAACCATTGTGTGCTTAATTGTATCGTGTAACTTTCTACTTAAATAATCCCAGAAACTAAGTTTATTGTCTACCTTAGTTATAGTTTCATATTCTTCATTCCACCTTTGCCACATCTCATTCAAATTATAATGATTATATTTACAATGTGGGCATCTATAATCGATTAGATCCACTTTTTCTTTTAAAAAAGTGGTTATAGTATTTAATGATTGTTGTGTAATTATTGAATCAATTAAAAAATTATTTTTTAAAACTTTATGATTCTTTAGTAAAACAGAAAGAAAACGAATGAAAAAAAAATCATGTTCTTTAGAATTGTCCCATGGTTTAGTGTGCATTATATCTAATGCTATT